TGAGCGTCTCAGGTACAGGCCCTGAAGTCGCAGTAGCCCTGAAGATACTCCAGGCGTGGTCTGAGTCGTACGGTTACATTTCCCGCAGCTTTTCAGATGCAGACAGTCATGATTTCCGGGTCACGTGTGCGGATATTTCTGAAAAGTTTTATCTAAACGCCTTCTCCGGAACTTGTTTTGCAGGGGATGCTCAGGACACAAATCCTGAAGATGACGAAAAGCTGTTACCTGATACAGTTGACGATAGTGGTGGCGCGTTGACTCCTGAAGAGCGCGAGCATCTCATCCTGGAACAGTTCCCGTTCCCAGGTACACCGGCCACAGAAACCAAGAGAAGAGCCGCTTGGCGCTCACTTCCTCAGAGGGTGCGAGTTGCTATTAGGCGTCTTCATCGTGCTTTTGGTCATCTCCCAAACAGAGTTTTGGGGCAGGTGTTGAAGCAAGCAAGAGCCAGTAAGGAGTTTATCACAGCTGCGCGATTGCTTCGATGCAAGGTCTGCCTGGACACAGCTCCAGTGCAAAGGCACCACACGGTTACAGGGGACAGTCTGTTTCCAAGGGAGTTCAACCATGCGTTGGGTATGGACGCTCTAGAGGTTAAGGACTTTCATGGGGCTCGCTACATGCACTTCAAAGGGGAGTTTACTCAGTATTTGTCACAAAGTGGTATCGCGCGTAAAAATGCGCCGTTAGAAAGTCCCTAGACCATTGGGAAGGTTGACCCGGTCACGGCGCCGGCGACTTCCGGACCGATGACCACCGCACCTTCCACTCCTGCGCCTAGCACACCGATGCCCGCACCGCGTATGTCACCCTCGTTTGGAGGCAGAGATAAGACGGGCGAGACCATTCGATCAAGGTCACCCCCGCTATCACGCGGCGATGCGCTTGTCGCTACTGTTGAAATAAGTGGTCCTATAGAATCGTTAGTGGAGCTTCTCGGCTTAGGCGAGTTTTCACCTGCTGCATGCCTTGACTTGTTGAGGTTTTATGCTAGGTATCAACTCGAAGCCCGTAAAAGGCCTTTGCTTGACGATGGCGATTATGAGACTATAGCTTTCTCGCTAGGCGTGTATAGACATGGAGGCCGAGTAGGAGTTTGTGGTCCTACTCGTGCTGACAACCAGTGGACGAAGGCGCAAAATGTGACCATGCACGGTATTGTCTACGACACTAAGAACAAAGTTCTTAAGTTCCGCCAAAACTTGCCCATATGGTTGAACTATACGTTGAAAAGCGACACAACGTATCTGCCTTTACGGTCAGTGGCCTAAGCAAACATCAAGAAGGCTACGGCCGAGCCGACGGAACAGTCGTCGTGAAGTTGAGCTCCCGATCAGTGAGTCGGTCGAGCTTGCTCCGACAGCACAGCGCGTGCAACAGTGCACAATGTTCGTAGTGCCAATCCCGACACAGTTCGGAGATAGAGCCGATCGAACACCGATGTGTTCGTGCACGCTTTTGACATCGTCAGAACGTCACACTACAGATACGACGGTTGAGAAATCCTGCTCTGTTCTGTATGACCGTGTTGACGTTCCCTTTTATGGTACCTGTGTGTAGTACTTGAATTAGCTTGTGAAATCACACATGCCTTTTGACTGATTGCAAATGTATCTTCTGACCGTAGACGTCTTGAGACCAAGCTGAATGAGCTAGTTGAAAAGTCCGTTTGCACCTAGCCCCCTGGTATCCCCGCTTTCAAAATAGTTTATCGTTTAGAGTTTAATGTAGTTAGTATGTAGTATGTAGTATGTGGCATAGTGTATACAATGTATAGTGTATAGTAGACATTCTGCAGTATACAGTATACAGTAATTTAGTGTATAGTATACAGTTCCTGGTACAAAGTATATAGCATATGGTATATGGTCTACAATATATAGTAGATAGAAAATGATATACAGTATACAGTATATAGTACATTGTATGTAGTTATGCGGTAATTTCGTACCTAGTTTATAGTATATAGTATTTAGCGCACAGCCCGTAGTACTCAGAATATAGTATATAGTCTATCGTATGTAGTATATAGCATGTAGTGTACAATATAAAGTAAATAGTACATCTTACACAGTATCTGGTATATAGTATACAGCGAATATTATATAGTATATAGTATATAGAACTTTAAAGTATTCCATACACAGCCAATATATATATACACATAGAGATATTTATGTGTGTTTGTTTGTGTGAAGCATGGCAGAATGGCCACCTCGCTGTCAACCTCGCAGCCTTGCTTACGTCTTTTCACGAGCATGCAAGGTCCCAGATTTACGTCGCAAAGCTGAGTTTCAGCTAGTGAATGCTGCGACAAACACTCCCACACCCAGCACTTCTGTCGTGATACAGGCCCGCTAGGTCCACAACAGGACGGCATTGACAAGTGGCATAGTTCCCTTTCCGAAGCTTCACTGCATGACCTCATTTCTCAGGCCCGGCGCAGGGCTGTGCTTGTACTTGCCAGGCTTCTTCAGATATCCAGTACATCCTCTGCACAAGATCATTGAACGAGCTGTCGCCAGAGAGGGCAGAGACTGTCCGAGGTCATGGTCCTCAGATCGCCAACGTTCCTAGTGGGCTCGGCACGCAGAATTGGCAGAGCCGTGACATCTTTGTGCAAGGTCTACACAAGTTCTGTTTGTAGCTTGAAAAGATAGCTATCTTGTTCGGATGTGCAGACAGAGGTGCATCGCCGCTGCTAGCTTTTAGGGCAGGCTCAAACTTTGCTTGCCACTGTGTAGTTATTACCGGGCAAGATGGGACAGGACCACGGTTCTTCTCCGCATCCATCACTGCAAAAAATATACAAGCAGAAGGAATGGTCTGCATGAGTCAGGACTTGGCGAAAGAATGCGGATGTGGCTATGGAGCTAGTGAGGCATCTGTAAAGCAGTTTCGAGAAGATGGGCCCGCTCGGAGTGAAGTTGGTTGTAGATTTTCTCCGGACCCTGATGCGGTTTTGTCGCGGAAGAGCGTTGCATCAAATAACGTGTGGGCAAGTTCACGGGCCTGTCAGGATGCAGAGGAGCAGCGAGTGGAGATTGTCGGTCTGCCATGTTTGCATGCTGGCTAAGGCTGAGTTTCCATGGGTCGGCCCCGGCTTCACGAGTTTCCCGGCGCTTTCGTAGCTCCGCAGCCTGTGCCCTGCCAGGACCAATCGAAGAAGCAAGCGAAGAAAGGTGCGGCATGCGCGGCCAGCGTCTCGAAATAGTGCCTTCCGAGCTGGCAGAGACAGGCTCTACCTCCGGTGGTGCGTTGCCAGAAGAGGAGGCTGCCGGGGCTGCGGGCAGTGCCTGCGCTCACGCCTGTGCTCACGCCTGTGCTCATCCTCGCTCTCGCTGCAGGACGAATTCTTCGTTCCACCGCCGCCAGCCCCGGTGCCACGGGGGACAGTCAGAGATGAGAGAAGTAGCCGCTGTGGCTCTTCGAAGGCGCTGGAGCCGAAGGCTCCCAAGCCCGCGGCGGCCCCGGCGGCCCCGGCGGCACCGGCATCGGTGGCACCGGTCGCCTCGCCGCTTGCGTCGGCACCCGCCAGGCTGGACATGTCCCCATATGATCCCACATGTTTTCTTTCGCTTCGAGATGGCAGGGCGCCAAAGCTCAGCTTGGAGAGCATCCTCGCCGACCTGGAGGCCGGTTTTTCGAGAGACACCCCAACGAGAACCTAAAGCCGAATTCCGAAATTCAGGGCGCGGAAGCTTCCGCCTTCGGCTCTGCCTTCACAAGCCTTGCAAAGGGCCAGGACTGGACATGCGAGATCATGACTGGTGAGTATACCTTGTCAGGGGTGCAGAACTCAGGGTCTTTTCTCTCAGGCTCCTTGCGAGGGTTTACTTATTATCGGCTTCTCTGGCCTGTGGGACAAAAGCTCTCCTCTTTCGTGCGCTTCTTGTGTCCTGCTGTGTGCTGCAAGCGAGCCATTTTTCGGTACAGTGTATTGCAGACCGAAGCCATGTCCAATTCCGCTCGAGCAGAAAAAGCTAAGGCAGCTAGGGTCTGCGTATGTTCATTTCAGAAGCTGGCCGCTGTGATGCTTTCCGATTTGCTTACTTCTACAGATTCAACTCCCTGCTGAAATACGGCGTTCCTTTCCGCTAGTGATGGGTTGCAAGCTGGCTTTGGCGGATCCCTTCCCGAGCTTCACGGAAACACAGAAATGAAGCTGTGAGCGGTGCGGGTGCAAACAGCAGGGCCAAGGAGAAAAGGAGCCTTGGCCTGGACTTCCGTGGGAGGGAGCTGGTCTTGCTGCTTTGAAAACTCAGTGCAGCTTTGGTTCTTTCGGTCCAAGGGCAACTTTACGTGCTTTGGAGCCCCCAAAACCCCCAGACGCTAAATCGCTGATGACTCGATGACGTCTTTGTAGGAGGCCCTGCAACCCGACCATAACGAGCTGCGGAGCTTCATCGAGTCTCACAGCCTCGGCCCCAGAAAAATCAGGACAGGGCAGCTTCTGCGCCGCTGGAAAGACATGCTTCGCAGAAGCTTCAGAACTGCTGCATGCAGGAGTGCTGCATAAACACCAGCCGGCGCAGGCGCTGTGCAAGACATCGATACAGAGCTTCTGAAGATCGCCTCCACCAACGAGGCCTCCGGCACATTTCATCTTATGGTTGCAAAACCAGACGATATTTTCGGGCCTAACTAGTAACTATGCGGCCTTTCCAAGCTGCATCTGCACTCGGAGATGGCGGTTCCCAAGGTGTGATCCTTCGGCTTTAGAGCCGAATGTCCTGCCTGCCTCGGCCCGGTCGGATGTGGGCCTCCATGGCTGTTGCTCCCGTGATTTTGGGTTATTTGTAAATATGAATTAAAAAAATGTGTGTGTATATATATGTATATGTATATGATTCTATATGCCTGTATATCAAATAAATACATACACAGAAAATGTATATCTATATCTATTTATATCTCGATCTCTATCTCTATTTATCTCTATATCTACAAGCCCTGATCGTGTCCAGGCCTTTGCCATCGATCGGGATGCCTTCGTGATGCTCCTGCGCATGAATCCCGTGAACGAATCCGAAGCCTTGGAGGACACGAGCAGGGCTGGCAGAGCTGGCAGTCCGATGCAGGGCTGGAAGGTTGCCTTGATAGGAACCTGTCCGTTCTTCTGCCCCTGTCCAGTCCTTCTTGCGGCTGTCTGGTGGTGGCGAGAACATCACCGCTGAGGACAACAAAGAGTCGATCGCGGTTGCAGCGCACATCAACATACGACATGGTTATATGGACATAGTTATATGATTATATGCATAATGCTAGTATGATACAACATATAAGTACAAATGTTATGACCTAACCCAGCATTGGGCGTTTTTTTTTTTTTTACGGTTGTATCGGTTGGAGCTGTGCTATGTTCCTGTTCCTTTCCAGGACTGCCGCACCGGCCTTTTCCAGCTTCTGCAGAACATAGGCCGGGCCCTCCCCCTCACCTTGCCCCACGCCCCGCACCCCCTCATATGGTGGTCGGATTTCGGGTTGATAGCGTCTGTTGCGAACGAGTTACCTCTTGCTTTTTTGGCCGTTGAGTTTAGTTTTGTTTACAGCTCCAAGACTGCGAATCTAAGGACTTTAGGAGGGACCCCGAATAGGGACCCTTAAATCCATTACCTTAAATAACCATTGTATAGTCCTTATATACCCTTTATATAGCCAGGTAGTCTCCATATTAACCCCAATAACCTACAAGGGTCCCTATTGAGGGTCCCTCCTAAAGCCCTTAGAGCGACCAGCCATGTGTTCTCGTAGGCCAAGCTCTATGCTCTTGTAGGGCTGCCGTAAGGCCTGCAGGCTTGTTTCTGCCAGCCAGATCTCATTGTTGGAAGACGAAGTGCCTTTGCACTGCAGGTGAGTCCTTGATTGGGGACACCTCTGAGCGAATCATTGACACCGTCATGGCCGGGCAAGGGTGATTGGGCTGTTGATGGCAGTTGTGTCGACTAGCGTTGCAAAGCCAAATGCATCCCTGTTCGATCATGCCCCGGTCCATGTTTGCAGCTGCCAGATGGCGCAAGATATGTACTCTAGTGAAGAAATTGCCTTGTGCTGTTGCTCTGTCCGAACACAGCGGAGAGTTTAGCGTCAAGCAGGAACTCAGAAGTAGTATTTCTGCAAGCATTGTGTGCCAGGGTTTTCTTTGGGTAATGCCTGTCTGCGGTGCTGGCCAAGCCGACACGCCGCTGCAGCGCCATGCCAGATTCCTGGCACAGCAAAAGCCGGTGGATGTGAAGGTGTCCTTGCCTCTGCATTTCCCGATGTACACGCTACCCCTTGCACGACTGATGGAACTGACGGAAGTGGAGCCACATGAGGTGCTCCAGAACAAGGGATTGTTGGTGGAGTTCGAAGAGAGCCTCGGCAGAGCGGCATTCGTGTCACACCAGTGGGTTGGAGAGAAGCATCCGGATCCCGAGTTCAAACAGCTGCGGGTTCTGCAGGATGCATTGGAACATGCGATGTCAGACATGCGGTACATATCCCTGGACCTCAACACAGAGTTCCTTGTACCGGGTGTGGAGTGCCTCGATGCCAGGGTCTTGCGAGAACGGACTTTGTTCATATGGTATGACTACTTCTCCTGCCCGCAGCTTGACTTTCACGCTCGGAAGGCAGTTCTGCAAAACGGACTCGGCCAAGAAAGCCAGCTGGCTTCAGCAATTGCAAGCATTCCAGCTTACATTGGAAGGTGCTCCTTCTTCTTCGCGCTTTGTCCAGTTGTTTACAATCCGAACCGGTCCATGGTTTTCACGCCGACCAGCTGGTCTGGCAGGGGATGGTGCCGTGCGGTTTCTCGGGAGCCAAACAGTAGGACTTTTCTTGATTGTCGTTAACAAGGTCAGCAATCAAACAGCTCTCGCCAAGAAAGCCCCAGTTCAACCAATACAGGAAAGGGTCTTTCGAGAGCTGTCCTCAGAGTCGTCATGGATCATGGTCAAGAGCCGAACGGAGTTAGAACTGATCGCGACACCGGCAGCTTCAATTGGTGGTTCGCCTGGCGAAGGGACCTTCACAGTGGACATGGACCGTCTGCAGCTTGCTCCGGTGGTGCTGCAGTCCGTTAAGCACAGGCTGCTCTTGTACTTGCAGAATGAGGACCTAGTGGGATACCGCGTCTGCTTGAATTTGCAAACCGTGTTTCTGAGGGGCTTCCCAGCGGATCCTCTTGGTGATCTGATTCCTGGCTTTGATGAAGCAAACGTGGATTCTGGTTCTCTTGCAGTATCTCGTTTCCTGTTCCAGAACGGCTTTTCTGCAGTGGGCGGCGTCGACCGTCAGGGATGGTCACCGCTGCACTATGGCGCTTTGGCCGGGGATCCGGTGCTGCTCCGGAGCTTGCTCGAACACAGCGCTCATCTTGATCGCTTGACGAAGAAGCCTCAACCACAAGCAGGGGTGCCACCTCGAACGTCGGCACTGTCCATTTGCTTGATGTTCAAGCACAACGAGGCTGCCCGCATACTTCTGGCAGCGAAGGCTCAGGCAGGAGTGTCTCAAAACAGGGACACCGGCTGCAAAGCAGAATGTGTTGAATTCAAAGGGCCTGTGAAACCCAAGATGCAGACAGGTCGGCAGTGGCATTCAACCACCTATCAGTTTGGCGGCCATGGCGAACAATCCGAAAGGTATTCGCATTCTTTGCGAGGCCGGCTGCAAGCCTGACATGAAGGACACTGGTCAGCTCCGCTCAGGAAGTTCATGCCCATTCATCTACTACTGTCCCCCCCCCCTCCATCTCCATGTTGCAATCAGGGTTCTAGCTCTAGCACACGCCCTTGCCAGTCGCCTTCTCAGGACATTCTGGGCTTCTCCGCCTTTGACGCAGCCTGCGGTGCGGGCAGTCTAGAGGCGATGCAGGAGCTCCTTACCCAGGCAGAGTACCGAATCGATCTCTCCCGGTCCTTCTTCGCCTCCATGTCCAACAGAGGCGGGAAACGTCAAGCCAACCCCATTAAACCCGATCTGCAAAATCTGGAGTAAGCCCTGGCCCTAAACTCGCAGAGGTGGAAAGGCCGAGCTTGTGGAGCTCCTGATCACACTACGAGCTGACATGAACACCCCCTTCAAGCAGCGCTTGCTAAGCATCCACGGCATCTTGTTTGCTGTGAAGTCGCTGCAGTACCGGTTGGGGAGGCACACAATTCTTACCAGGCTGGCACACCACGGTCATGGTGCAACGCCGCTTATGTTTGCGGTTATGACTGGGCAGTATGAAGGTGCTGCTGCACTCTTAGCCGCGGGTGCAAGTTCCGATGCACGCAACGCACGCAATCGCACGGTAGCAGACTTCGCACGGGAGCAGTCTTTGCCGTTTTTCTTGAGGGAGGCGTTGGAGGGGCGGACGGAAGAAGCCCGGGAGTTGGTTGCCGTTGCAATCGCCAGCAACACCTTCCAAATCTGAAGGCCGATAGAAGTGAAGCGAGCGACGTTTGAACGAAGCGCAGAAATGGATGCCATAGCAGTTACAGTGGTCGTCATGTTCCGAGGTGTTTGTCTCCGCCACTGCTTTCAATCAGATCCCTCTTGTAACCTTTCATGCTTCTACTGTGCGTCTTGCTTCTGACATGTCCACGTGTTTCCCTGCGAACAAGTCAGCCCGGATTACACAATCATGCCCAGAAAGCTGAGTCAGCAGAATGTGAGAGACCCCTCCTTTGAGGTTTCTAAACTTGGCAGTTTCCAGTGCACTGCCTGTCCTAGTGCTGAATGTAACAGATGGGAGGTGGATGCAGGCCCCAAGCTCAGCGACAGACGTTCAGGAAGTAAGCGGTGCACACAGGCATCGACAATCTTGGATGCTTGCCTTGCGAGATCCGGGTCTCCGCTTCCCACCTTGTGTCAAGACCAGAAATTAAAAATCACAAGCCTTTATTCCAAGGTGTTCTGTCTCACCTTGTGCACACCCCACGGCAAACAGCACTTGCTGAACAACAACGTTCAAGAAGAGGTGTGTGGCGTACTGGTTGTGTTCTCTGGTTGCGTTCTGACTGTTCGTCGACAAAGATTCTCCTATGTTGGAAGTCTCGCTTGGAATAAGGCCTCCAGGTGTCCATGGAGTTGCTGCCTCAGCGACCTCGTTTTCTTGAGCACTCCGATTCTTTGGCGAGCTGCCGAGGCAGTGGGTGGGCTACAGCAAGACGGCTGGTAGGCTCGGACAATAGACACCGAAACCCAAGTCGCCCGGGCCATGGAAACCTAAACCCGGAGCTGCGCCTGTAGACGAAGCGCTCTGCAGTAGGCCAAGAGTCGGCGGGGTTCATCCATGACAGGATCGCCAGGCTTTCGCTGTATGCGAAGGTGTGAGACGCTTCTTGCCTCGCACAGAACAGCAGTCAACTACTGCGGCGAGAGCTAGGCCAAGTGCAATGACATGCGCGGAACGGGCTGGGTTGGTATAGAAGCAAGTGTTCTTGCATGTTCGCGTGCGAATCGACACTTTCACAAACATATGCTCGAGATTGTGGCAATACACATTGGCTGTGGCTGTGCCACACCGTCTCTATCTTTGCCTCGTGGCATGGGTCGTCCAGCCATAGCTGCGACTTGCAAGCCCAAACCTCGTAGTGTTAGACTTCTGATTTTGATGCCGAGCCGCATCCAGGCTAAGCGGCTATGAGCCTAGTAGCCTCAGTCAGTTTCCTGCTTCAGGATGCTTGGATGCGGGAGAACTTCTGTAGGCCAAGGCTGCCGAACGGCAATGGCCAGCTTGTGTCTATGGCTATGCACAGAAAGCTCAATGCTTCGTACTATCCAAAAGCGGCTTTTGATAAATTCTCGCAGGTTTGGCCCCGCCTGAATGGAAATTCCTTGGCAGCCTTGGAGCATGGCTTGAGGTCTGTCGCCTGCCTTCTGTGGACACAGCGTCCAAGACCTAATTCGCCGCCGAAGTGCATGGCACGTCTCACATGCAGTCCAGTCACCAGCTTACCCGTTTCTGGCCGCACTTGAGCATTGGTATCCAGCAACGTGCGAAGCTAGTCGGACTGACTGCAAGGACCAGCGGAAGCAAACCCACTGCATTTCCATGGAAAACTTGCTTTGCCTGGGTTGCATGCACGGCATCCGCTACCAACCGGGGACCGGGGTCTGGAAGTCTGCACAGGGATTAGCTACACGGCCCTGCTGCTAAAATCTACCGTGCAACCCTCGAAAGCCTCGCAGTCCCACGAAGATTCTCGCACCGGAGCAAGGCACGGAGAAGCAGCGAACGCTTCTCAGCGAGTTCTCACGCAAAGAGCAGCATTTCAATGAGGTGGGCCTGATGTCACGGCTGTTAACTTTCCAGTTCAGCAACAAGCAGGTTGATGAGCAGGATGGTTGATAGTCATCGAGGGGCGACGATGGGAAGATGTGTACAAAGGAATCTTCCGAAGCCTTAGGACCATTCAGGACAGCTCTTGTGCGGCCAGGAGTACCAGAAGAACAAGCCACTCTGTTTCAGCGCAGAGAGCCCAGCCGTGTCCGTGATATTGAATAGAGAGCATAAACCAAGAAGTTTCTTGAATATAAAAAACTGTGTAGAAATGCTTTCGGGAGATCCTCTAAGAAAAGACAAGAGACAGGCGAAGAGCTACCAGCGCACACATCCCAAGAAGCTCAGCTTGGGACACAAGGCAAGCGTCGTGTAGGCGTCCTGCAGAATTCTCTTCAGCGAGTCCAGAGACACTGAAGAAGACTTGCTCGGCAGGACGCCGATGCGACCCTGGCTTCGCCAATGATCTTGGGAGTGGCGGATGGAGTGTGGTTGCCTTACGCTCCAGAGATTTGCCCCAACATTCCTTGCAATATCTGTGAGGCAGGAAAAGCCAGTTGCCGGCGAGAAATAGCTTGCACTCCCTACACGCAGTCTTTTTTCTCTGAGAGCTTTTGCTCATGTTGTAGTGATGAGCATCATTGAGCATCAAGCGTTGCTGCCTGTGTCTAATCTGAGTTATTGTCCCTGCAATCGGTTGCTGATGTGACCCTTAGCTGCTAATTGCTATTATCCCTCTTCTTGTGAGTTTAATGCAACTGTGTCTCATGTTGCTACTACAATTACCCTGAGCCCAAAGCTCAAGACCCTGAGCCCTAAATCCTGCATCCCACAACCCTACGTCAGATTCTAAGACTGGAAAAAAAGGACCACAAACCCTAAACCCTAAACCCTAAACCCTAAACCCCAAAAGAAAAAAACACAAGAAACTCAGCGAGCGACTCTGAGGTCCCAGCTCGAGGAGTTTGGGATGGACGCCTCGCAGCTTCCCCGCGACACCGGGCCTAAAAACTGCTTGCAATTGCGCTCTTCTGGCTCGGAAATCAAAGTTCCCTTCAGGAGCGTAGATTCTGTAGCTTTAGCGTTCGGTTTAAGGTTGTATAATGACAAGTTCAAGAAGGAGCTCAATGCTGGTTTAATGCAACAAGGATCTCTTTACAGGGTTGAGTTTGGAGCTGTGTATTTGGCGAAGTCTCTTCTGGAAGCCTGAAGCTCGAGAGCTTTAAAGTGGGCCTGCCTGCTTGGTTATCGGCTGAGCTCAGCTGATCGATGATAGGTTCGGTGACTCTGCAGGAAAAAAAAGGTCCCCAAACTCCTAAACACAGCATAGAAAGATAACCTCACACCCTGAGCTCCTGAATCGCCGTAACGCACAAACTTTACCGAACCGCCGAGCCGAGGAGCTGCTTCGGATCTGCGAGGACTGCCTGCATTTATCTACCAGAAGTTATTTTAATTTTAATGTGTATGTATGTACGTATGTATATATATATATATATATGCAAATACAAGTACGTTGCATGTGTATATCTTATACCTTGTCTGTCTGCCAGAGCATGGCCGAAGCTTGGGAACAGGATCTTGGGATGAACCAGCTGATCCCGGACCGGCAGGTGAACCCACAGGCCAGTTGGCCGCCGAGGGCAGGCAGACGTACGAAGTTCGTATGACTTGCCAGGAAGCCTACCAGGGGCCTGTGTCCTTGCTGAAGGCAGTGGGCAGAGGGTGGGATCCTCTTCCTTTCCGTCTTGGAGAGAGCATTTGCTTCCGAGGAGGCCTACGAGGAGACCGAAAGTTCAGAACTCGGCTGCGACGAGGTGACTGGCCTGGCGTTTTGGGGCCGTCTCGAGGCATGGGTTCTACCACCATCCTGCTTGCAGTGCCGGGCCTGGGCACGTTCTGCGCACTGCCATGCGCTGCCATGGCGCCATGCCCTGCCCAGCACAGCTTGGCACGGCACTGCCTGTCAGACTGGCCTTTGCTAGGTCCTTGACAACAGCACGAAGATTCATGGAAAGTCAGGGGTCCCAGTGGATGGGGTTTAATCCGGCAGGACCACAGGTTTCGACATTTCCCCGTCGGCAACGCCTTTTGCTTGACGCGACTGCGAGGCTACACCCCATGGTCGCGGTGCTCACGATAGGTGCCCTGTTTGAGGAAGGAAACCTTTCAATAGAGGCCTTTCCATAGACAATTAACTTGCAGGATCCAAGGCAGTGTTGGCGGCACCGGCGCAGTATGATTGCAGGTGACTGCGAGCTCTTGATGCTGCGAAGATTAGACGGCCGCTTGGAAAGCGCAATTGTTTTTCTCCCCTTTGGCTTGGGCCAACTTGCAATTCCTCGGTGCCGCTACCTCAACCCGAAACATCTGTAGCTGAAGATATCTACTTTGTAAGATCCTGGCAGCCGACACCAGGGATCCTTCCTGTGATCTGCCGAGGTCGGCAGTCTCCTTTGCAAGCCGTGCGGGGCCCTGCGCATTGCAAGGGATTCTGCCATATCACTTTCCGGTCCACTAAGCCCAGGAGAGCGGAGAAGCAACTGCAGGAACAAACATCTTGCAAGAGCTGCAGGTCTTCCATACAGAAATGCAGCGCATTGATGGACACGCCGGCGCCCTAGGGACTAGCACCGGCTAGATCTTGAGCCCGCCTTTGGTTTTGAATGGCAGCGAGGATGCCATCGGGAAATGTTGAAAAGGTGTTGAATGCTGAATACTGAATCCTGTATATGAATAGCATCGACAAACTAAAGCAAACTAACTGTTGCGACAAATCAAGCAATGCTATTCTTACCAGAGTATAGATGCACAAAGAACAGGCAGAAGGCACAAGACCCATTTGCGCATAAATCATAAGCCTATTGAGACAAAGCAAAGAGCCCGAATACCGTGAACCACGTGAAAGGCTGGGCAAGATGAGCGACCATGAGTAAGGAGAGTACCGAGCCGAACGGTCGCATTAAAGCTAATTGGCAGAAGCTGCCTGTTTGGCTGAGTCGCAAACGCCATTGCAGCTGGCTCGGGTCGATGCCTCTCCGGCAATTTTGCAGCATGCAATACTTTCATTGCAATCGAGAGAAAGCTTGTCCCGAAGAACGTGTGCCAGGATCGGGTAGATCCCGATTTCGACGAGGAGCTGGCGCTGGAGGTGGGGTTCGGGAAGAGCTGATGTGAGCCAACATTTGCTTTGACATTTAAACCAGAAAGTAACTGGAGCTGATGGTAAGACGGTGTGGGGGCAGGCCGGCTTTGTCAGATGTTGGAAAATGCACGTTGACATCGACATATCAGCGTTTGCGAAGCACGGCTGGCGCTTGAGCGCCCCGGCGGAGGTCATCGAGCGAGGCAGTGCTGTTCATTGCGTGTCGGCTTACGAGGGCGACATCATCGCAGTTGGCCCAGCTTCAGGTCATATTATGCATACATGAAAATGATCCTCTTATCTTGCCAGTGTCCTAGATTATGTTTCGTTGTATCATGCGGATGTGTGTTTGCCTTTCGACGTATAGAGAAGTGTGTCACGTGTATGTATCTACGTCAGCGTCTGTTGGTGGCTGTCTGGCTGGCTGTCCGCCTGATTGCCTGCCTGTCTGCCTGCCTGCCTACCTACCCGCCGCCGGGCTGGCTGGCTGGCTGGCTGGCTGGCTGGCTGGCTGGCTGGCTGGCTGTCCGTCCGTCCGTCCGTCCGTCCGTCCGTCCGTCCGTCCGTCCGTCCGTCCGTCCGTCCGTCTGTCTGTCTGTCTGTCTGTCTGTCTGTTCGTACGTACCAATGTATGCTCGTAAGTAAGTAGCAGTATGAATGTACGTATGCACGTATATGTAAGTTTTACGTATGTAGGTATGTACGTATGTGCGTATGTTCGTATGTATGCATTTACGTGCTTTCGTATGTCCCGCAGGTAAGTATTTATCTATATAAATATATATAAATATATATATATATATATATATACATATATATAGATAGATAGCACTCCATTTGCATAATTGCGTACCTAGGCAGAAGCATGCATATCAGCACTCGTGTGCAAGGCCCCACTCTCTCTGGCTCTACGGTTTGTCGTTGCTAAGATTCTCGGAAGCGACGGAATTTTCGACAACCTGTTCCTGGAAGAGGACGACGACATGAATTGGTTGAAGATCGAGAGTAGAGACTGCTCTGTGTTTCGGCACTGACAGTGAAGTCGTCTGCAGTTCTACAGGCAACCTGCCCTGTTTCGAGTTGCTCGGCCCCTGCCAAGTGAGAGCGCATGTTCTCGGCAGATTGTCGACATTGTCAACGAGTCTTTGCCGGCACCCAAAGCCGGTAGCTTTGCCGGCGGCCGAGATACCGAGATTCTTGCATTGTGTTGCCGCCAACAAATATGTGTGTTTCACATCCTGTCTTCTTCTGCCATTTGGCAGTGATTGGGAGGTGGCAACCCAGCCGAGCCTTTTGAGCCTTTTGGCCAAGCGCCTCGTCGACGAAGCGCACAGCAAGTCCGAGGCGAGGCAACTGTGACGTCCACGAGACCTTCACATACACCGCTGAGTAGCATGTGCATGGTCTTGCGGCGCCTTGCGGTCTTGCCGTGCTTGTAAAGTGTGTTGTCAAGCCGAGACAGGTCCAATCTCAATCCCCTGAGCCATCGAGAAAGGTTGGCCGCCACGGCCTCCCAGACACGCCCATCGGTCTGGGAGGGAAGATGGATGACACCTCGGTGGTTGTGGGAGAGGCCCTTGGGAACGTGGTTTCAAGCTCGGTCAGCTCAGACGGTGTCATGGGAAGGTCTCCGACAAAAAAACTCCAACAAGAAACCAGCGGATTCTGATCAGGTGGTCGAGTGGACACGTGCTCACAGCGAGGTCTGGGCTCAGGCCGGGGTTAGCAAGATGCAAATTGATATAGAAGGTGGTGTATGGTTGGCTGGTGCAACAGAATTAGATCTTGTCTATGCCCCGGTGCCACGGGAAGGATCAGTTGTCGTCGGCTGGACTTCAAACACCACGATGCTTGTTGTCACTGCAGGTCCAGACTGGATGGACATTGTTCGATATCCACACCCTACCATACAGTACTTGTACGACCGGGTATGCAACTTTTCGTGCGTTTACACCTGAAGCGCTCGAAGATTCTTGGCTGCGCGGGGACTCGAGGGATTCGAGCGGGCGTTGTTCACTCGCTGCACAGCAGCCATGTCCGGATTCATGTGGAGACATAGCCAAACTCCCATGTCGACTTGCATGCTTAAGCTTGCAGCCGAAGCCCCGGTGGCGAGGCTGTTGTAATGTAGGAACCTGATCAAGAAATCTCGGGTTCTTATTACCTGTAGATGGTCCAATTTTAACTACTTGCAGAGCTTGCCGAATTGCAAGGTTTATGTCAGGAGACGTCTGCCAAAATGGCTCTGCCATTTTGGCCCAAGATTGTGGACCGTCGGTCCTTGTTGGAAATTTCACACTTTCGCTTCCCGCTTTCTACCCTGCGACCGGTGATCATGTCGTTCACTCCCGTGGCCGATGTTGACGAGGTCTTGGCCTCCAGCATGGAGACCGTGGAGAGCTTGGTGCCCCCCCGTGACACCGGGGACAGTGATCAAGAATGGGAGAGGGTCGACGCTGAGGTGATGGTTGCCCGTGCTACCTTAGCACACAATCTCGCGGCCCATGAGGATGAAGTGGCGAACAACACTTTGGCCTCGTTCACCTCCCTGGATGTGGATGACACACCCTTGGACAAGAAACTCCAGGAGATGGATGCTGCCCTGGCCCGTCTCATGTCAAAAGGGGACGAGAAGGTGGAGGTCAAGGAGGAGGCTCCACCGACAGGCGACTTTGTCCCTGAGGTGGGCCCCTCCGCGCATGACAAATCGACCGCCATGGACATGGACCCCGCCGATGCCCTTCTCCAGGATGAAAAGCACAATATGCAGGGCTGCATGGAATGGAGTATGATGCGGACGATGCCCTCTGGCACCCTGGAGGAGACGGTATTTCGCATCGAGGGTTCCCGGCTGATTTCCCGGGCATCGGCAAGAAGAGCGCTGACCTGGCGAAGCAGTTCTCCAAGGAAGAGATCGCCGCCTTGTTCTCCAAACTTAAGACGGAGACCTGGACCAGACCAGCGGTGGAGAGGGTGCTCGAGGTGTACCAGATTTACAAGCGGCAGATAGCACAGGAAAAGATGCTGGTTGCCCCCTTCAACAATTCCCGAGCAGGGGTTGGTCACGGAAGCTTGGGGCAGCTAAACCCGGGCAGCACGGGGGCTAAGCTCATGTGCCCCATCTGTTTTTCGGACTGCCTGCGACCGGACAACAAGGTGGAGGGCAAGTGTAAGCTATGCCAGAAAAATGTCATCGCAGTGGACAAGGGCCCCCCGTCGGCAGAGCTCAAACTTGGCACATCCTCCTGGGTTATGTTCTGCGGCCCTGAGGGTGTGACCTGGCACACCGATGCTGATGAGGCACAGAAAGAAGCCGCATCAGTGGATATTGGCTCCTGGGCCCAGCCGCCACCCCGGCCGACAGATCAGACGGAGCTCAGCTTCGCCGACCAGGTGCCTATGGCCCTGAGGCTTAGCTTGGCGCACACGGTGGCCAGCCAACCCTTCGACGAGGAAGACGGCAGGGGACCGACCACACATCCGTGAGGACTGGCAACCCAGTCAAGAGACCCGCGCCTTCCACGCGCAGCTGGCCGCGGCTATGGAAATCCAGAAGAATAAGAGAGCAGGGCCGGTGGATCGGCGCCCCAGCAAAGACACGGAGGAAGAGTTCACTAACCGCAGGCTGGGGCGCATGAAGTGGAAGATGCGCCGGGGGAGAGGAATTTTTCGCGGCCCAGACCTCCTGGGAGGAAGCCAAGGCCTCAAACAAGCGGATGCAGGAGGAGGGCGAGATTCGCGCCAGGCTCCTCAAACCGGTGGTGGAGTCCATTGACACCTGGGGCCCCATGCTCCGCGCCGCCCTCGAAATGAATGTCTTCAACCCGGACACGCCACTCAAGGACATGGAGCTTGACCACATCGAGGCCTGGACAGGTACCTCAAAACGAAGTTTCTGCTGAGTCAGAGACGGAACCCCTTCCCGGCTTCCCTTCTGCAAGAACTGCCCACCTTGGCGGCTGTTTAGCGCGAGGGTGATCGTGTGGCCCGGGACGATGGCAGGGGAATGTCTTCCACAGGTGCCTTTGGCCCTGAGGAGCAGACCCCGGAAGCAGTCCTGGGTGTGCCTGTTGGGTCAATAGAGTACCAGATTCTGCGCCTCAAGCGCATCATCGAGCTGCGCCTGGGGGAGCAGAGGATGATTGGGGGCAAGTGGAAGAAGGTGCAGGGGCCCTTGGTGGCTCCTACCTGGGCAAAGCCTCTCCCTGAGGCCGAGCAGTTGACGCTGGAGATGAGGACACACCCCTGCACCTTCAGGAGCGCCTTCTTCGAGCCGATCGCCTTGACCATGCAGGAGATCGAGGCGCAGATTGCCATGAGTAACAGGCCCGTCCTGAAGAACATTGTGGGCCCCTTCCATGCCAAGGATGATGATGACACTTTCCACTGGCAAAAGGAGGTTCAAACCTGGGACCTGGTAAGCCTTTTCAGTTCCTTTGGCCACAGCCACACGGCCCGACACGTATATGCGGTCTGGAGCCACTTGCCCATCACAATTCGAGCCCTTCTTCGCGGGGCGAAGAACAAAGAATCGAACAACCAGCGCCGGGACGATTACAGGGCGATCCAGAAAGAGGCCAAGGAGTTTGTGATCCTTCACGACCTCCCCGCGCCCACCACGGACTTGGAATGGAAGCAGCTTTACCGAGAGATGGGCTCCTTCTTTGCGGCCAAGGTCTTTGTTCTGGACCTGCCTGTGTCGGACATCCACGACTCCAAGGACCACCTGCGGTCTGCGGTTCCGGGCGGTCTGTGACGACAGGATCACTCTTTTTTTGAGGGCCTTTCGAAAGTTCCCCGACATCTACAACACGCTCTCCACCTCCCTGGGCCAGGAGGCGGGTGGAGGTCAAGATGGCCTGGCGCTGTAACACGGAGCAGTGGTGGACTGCCCGTCTCAAGCCGGATATGCGGGGCCGATCTACCGTAAGCTCGGCTGCTCAGAGAGCTACATCCAGGGGCTCAACCTGGGGGAAAAGGACACCTCAGCTGCCTTTGGCGCTGAAAGGATCATCCTGGACCCCTTGGCGGCGGAACAGGAGCTCTCGCTGCCGCCCATCACCCCGGACAACGTCTCCAGCGTCGCCTCCGAGGACTATAAGCGCAAGATCGCCAAGGACAAGGCGGCCCATGTCTTCTGGGCTCGGATGGATTGCGGCTTGGTCTTGAGCTCGGTTTCCACTTCAAAGATCGTGGACAAAAAGAAGGGGGAGACTCGGGGCGGATATGTCTGCCGCCATTGCCGTGGATTCTGGCGCGGGAATACGGGCTCCAGTCGTTTCCTCTTGATCACGGGGGAACACAAAGGCAAATCCGCGCAACTCCAGCCTATCCTTGACGAGTCCCGCAAACCCTCTACGAGGCCTGGGTCAAGGACAGGATCGAGTTTTACAAGAGGGTGGAACCCATGGCAGCCCCGCGGGACCGCTCCTTGAGGGTCAACCCGAACCTCAGCTCTCGGCTCAGGTTCAGCAAAACGAACCTCCTGGGCAACGTCTCCGACCTGATCTGGGTCGGTGGTTCTCTCCAACCCAGACAAGGACGGCCTCAAGAAGATCCACGAGATCGCGGCCTCTCGGCTTCGCCCGGCCTGAACAGTTTTCTTTAAGACTGCCCAGGTGCCTTTGTCCCTGAGCGGGTTCCCCCCTCTGCTGGCTTGGATCAGGAGTGACGCCTTCGGCCCTGAGGGGGGGGGTGTCCATCCCCTGCTCAGGCCGTGAGCTATATGCTGTAGTCCTTTTTTTGGCGGGGCTCTGCCAACCGGGGAAAGTCCCAGGTGCCTTCGGCCCTGAGAGACCCTTCCGGATTACAGGGGCAAGGCACGCGCTTGACCGGCGACCTGCAGCATGCCGCTGCATGAAAAGTTTGGGCGCGCCGGGCTTGTGTTTTCTCCCTCTCCCTCTCCCTCTCCC